GGGTGTAAATTTTAGGACATGCAAGTTCTAAAAGTTTATTTCTTCAGTCCGCTAAAGTTGTTTTGTCCTGCTACTTAAAGCTTTCTTTTATCGGCACTAAACGTTATTGCTGCGTACATATAACTATAGACGAGTTTTTTTTCATACTGTCTTGTGAAAGTCGTTTCGTGAAGTTTTTTTTCCAAATCTTATCGTTGCTTGGGGTAATAAAGTATACGCGTGTTCGAATTAAATGCCAAGCAAGACGAGCGAAGATAAATGAAAGAAGTGGATCGGTGTAAAAGAAAGAAAGCCTTACAAATGGGGAAAAAATGATTGTGTGCGGTGAAAGAAGAAAGAAAATGTTTCACCAATTTACAGTAAAAGGAATCCATAAAAAGATCAGTGCAGACTTTTAAGTAGCCAAGATGTAAAAAAGGATTTATGTAGTTATTCAAATATACATCAGTTAGAATGTTTTTCATTGTTCCGAAATCGATGTACTGATACAGTTCATTATCCATTGTTGGTTTAAGATACTTTAGATTCTGGTATACGTTTCTAGAATTTTAAACTTTTATAGAACATTCGAAATTAGTATTTACATAAGAGTATACTATTGCCGCCTGCAATCTATGGATGAAGTGAGTTCTCGATTGTGATTTCATGTCTAGTAAGATTTAACATCGTCTCTTATATTTTTTCATACGATATTTGTAAAAGTGTTGAATCAGTAGGCCTCATTTATTATCTGAAAAAATGTATTGAATATAGATTGAGAGTCTTTTGAAAGTTTAGAATAGTACTAGCAAGTTAATTAAAAAAAAACAGGATATTTAAAAACCTTTTATTCATATTACCGAAGAGAGTCGTTGAAAAAGTAAAAATCATCATATAAAGGTATACTATTTATATGTATATTGTTAGAGAATCTGTAAAATAGCAAATGATAATAAAGTTTTTAATTAAATTTTACATTCCTAAGATTGATAAGTTAAGTAGAAGAATTGCATGTAAAATACTGACGAGACGAGTCTCCGATATAAGCAATCGGATAACGTTATTTTGATATTTGGCGTAACCAAATATTTTTTGCATGTTTGCATTTCATTAATTATTAAAACCGCGAGTCTAGGCAAGAGTTTCGTAAAAGAACTTGTCTGAAAGAAGCACGCAAACAATCTTTTTCCGCAGTACTTTAGCATCGTCGTATTCTTTCTCACACTCCCTTATCATTAAAACGGCTTTTACGGTCAAAAGAACAACACATATACGTACACAGAGAAAGTGAGAAAGCGCGAAAAAACGAACGCGTGCTACGTGCCCGTCGTCAAAGCACACTGCTAAAAAAGGAACGGGAAGGAAAGAAGCGGTGCTTTATGAGTTGCGCGCTTGCGGCTGATGGCTTTGACTTCCCGCATTTATTTTACGATTCGTCGCTTCCTTCGCCGTGAATTTGATTCAAACTTCGAAAGAGAGAAAGAGTGGCCATCCGGAAAGAGATTCGCGACCGAGCTGTGTAAGCGCACGCGACTTGTTTATTTTCGACCCTCGACGCGAAATAAACCTTGACACCCCAAGTGAGATATATGAAAAGCCAATGCTGCTAAGGGATGCGGAACTTAAAGAAGTAGGGTGAGGAAGTGCAGAATCTACGATTTGGTTGCTTTTCGAAATCAATTGTGACGGCGTGTTTGCTTTTCGACTTGCAGTGTTTTTCCGTTTATTTACTAAAGTGGCTTCTATGCTTACTCGCTTTCATCAGAATTTGTTAATTAAAGAGTGATAGAACAAACATATTTTTGCGTAAATAAAGGATATATTTTTCTGACAATAAGATATCTTTATATTATTTTAATTTAAGTTATTTTAATAAAAGCAGAATGACCACGAACTGCAATTGAACTGACACGTGAAAGCCAACTTGATTCATTGTTCATAAACTATTTATCTTGTTAAAAATAGTACTTTTAAATCTCGCAATGTCTCCAAGTGGCACAATTAGCATCGTTTAAAAAAATCCCCTTAGCCAGCGGAATGAGTACTAAAATAAAAAAATAAAGGGAGAGAAAGTTTCATTTCCTAGTAAATTGCCGGGCTAGCTCCCTTCCTCTCTCTCTCTCTCTCTCTCTCTCTCTCTCTCTCTCTCTCTCTCTCTCTCTCTCTCGCTGTTTCTCTCCCTTTGCTCTCGCTTCAACTTTCGCGTATGCATTTCTCGCGCTTCTTTTGACACTCTTGCGCCTGCTGCTCGACGAAGGACTTTAATTGACACGCGGCGCTTGCTTCGACAAGCTTTTCTAAATTAATGTGCTTTAATGCGCACACTACGTGCGCGTGTGCGTTATACGCGCTTTCTTCTTTCTCTCTTTGCATGCCTTTCTTCGCAAGTTGCCTGATGCTTCGACACGCTCTTTCATTGGCCTGCGTTTCATTAATTAACGTCGTCGACGATTCGCGCTTGCTTTCTTCAGACTTGACATATACAAGCGTGCGTACACGTACGCCAAAAGAAATGCTCTCGCTACAGGAGTCTTGGCAGTCTGCTACGTACACTTTTCGTTAATTAATAAGATGAAAATGTTTTGTGATTACCCGAGGGTAATCTAAAGGCGAGGAATGTTCATTGCGAAAAGCGCTTTTCTCTCTCACTACGAGGGTCGTTAGCAAATATTTATGGCGTTTTAGGAGCAATTAATTTTAAACTAGCGCTGCTTTTTCTTAGCAGGCATTATGCGCTGCGCCGCACGTTCTTTCAATTGCAAACGTTTGCTCTACTAATGAACGCACGGTCTGTATACAAACATTTACTTTAGTTTCGCGAATCGTCTTTTTATTTACTTACTGGGTTAGAGGACTACTCATTTTTATCGTTTAGCACGCGCATACACAAGAAAATTTCACGTCTTGCGGAAAAAATTAATGAGGAGCAAGCTTTCAATGGTACGCTACATCAATTAGTACGTGCATATTTTCACTTTTAATTACGCTTACGTTGCTATTCTTGTCCCTGACGTATTAATTTGAAAGAGGCAGAAGAAATGGAAGAAACGACCCTAGCTCACTAGGTAAATTCCAAGCCTACGCGGTCAACTTATTCACATCAAAGTGCACGCGTTTCAAGACTGGACATTCTCCAGTTTAAGTATCCCAGCTCAATAAATAAATGCATTGTACTTGCATCTATATACACCCACACCATACGCGTAGAATCCGCATAGGGCTCCGCCAGTTTGAGCTAATGCGCGCTCAAGCTGCAGTCTGCCTTCTCCCCCTGGCAATTGCATGGCCCAAGTCGTGTTCCACTCTGGTCAGCCCTCACGGCCACGCTAAATCACAGCCTTGCCACAGATCCAATTATCAAATTGTCCGGCTGCGAGTATACGAGCCAGTCTCTTTAACAGCCCAAGCACTTTGCCTCTCGAGAAGAAGCAAGGAGACACGGGCCAAAACCACGCGAGATTTATTAGTACATTGGCAATGCTACTTCTTCGGAGAAGATTGAATGGAATACACGAGACGATGTATTCTAACGGACCAAGTTTCCAGAGACATTCTAGCGCTGATTTAATTCTATTAAAAGGTCTTACGTTGGGAATCACAGACGATAAAAACTCGTTGCTTTGCCCTTCCAAGTTAAATACGGATGTATTTTAGAATTATATTGTCTTTCAGCAGTTTCATATAATATTAGGCTTCCTTATGATTCACCAGATATGATGCTCATCAAAACGATTGCACAATAAATATATTGATAAGAAGCCGAATATACGAAAAAAAGTTATCACCAAATATAAACGAGTTGTAATCTGATCAATGTTATAAACATAATATTGGCGGTTGTGATTGTTAAGAATATTTTTATAAGAGAAAACTGATAATTTACAAGTACTTGGAAATCAAACGATATAAACATGATAAGATCGGACTCCCACGAGGAACACGTGCATTCTTCTTCGATCCGTTTATTCTTTTGTGCTCGTCTTCTAGTCGCACGATCGTTTCATTGTTTTTCATCTTGTTTTTCATTGTCAGTTAAACTTTACATTTCTTTCCTGACGTCACACCGAACCAAGAGATAAGAGTTTCTGGAATTGATTTAAGCTTACTAATCTTTGCTCTGTCTTCTGTCTTAGAATAGATAAGAAAGCGAACGAAATAAATGCTCTAATGCGTAAGAGCAATAAGCTTATTGATTCTAAAAGTGTATTTCATAAAAATGAGATTTCAAAATTACAGATGCTGCAAAGATGAATACTTGTTATCCTTTAATTTAGATTTATAATGATTTTAATAAGTTTATGGAGTGGTGACGTAAATCAATACATAAAAAAATCGATACGTATAACTTTATTAAAACTCACATACAATTACAAATGCAGAAAAGTGTAGTCTCTTGATCTTTCTAGCCAATTCTTGCTCACCTATGGCAATTCATATGAATTACAATATGCGACACGCTGATTGCTCTAACATTTCATGGGCGAAAGGTCGACGAACCACAGCCAAAAATATTGGGATGGTCTACACACGAAGAGACCTCGTCGCTCCCTGGGAAAATATCAATTGAATCAATTTCAGCAAGCGGTTTCGTGCGACGTGCGATACCGCCGACAGCTTTACGTGGACGAGTATTACATGGTCAGGTGTAGGAATATTACGCGCGTGTGGAATAAAAATTATTGCCTTTGTACGAATGTTGGTGTTGGAATGCGTGTTATCCGCAGTGGAAACAATGATGCTGTCAGGGGGAAAAAATTTCCAAGACAAGGCTACTATATTGTTAAGTAATGATTAAAGCATAAGGAATAATTGAACGTATAAAATAATAATATTAAAAGACATTAGATGCATTGTTTCTTCAAATTTTGATTTTGAAATTTCGAAAAATACTTATATCATTTATCATTACATAAATAAATTTTTGTATGTGTTAACTTATTGTTAAAAATATAAAGTTACAAACTAGCAATTAACAAAAACATTATTAATTCACTCTTAAAGAAAGGTATGACCTTGCCATAAACAGTGTCAATAAACATCACACTTTTTAAGTGTACGTTTTTAGTTGAGCAGTTCAAATTCGAAAATAAGAAATATAGTATATTTTGAATTCGCTAAGAAGGTGACATGAATTATATAAGTAGTATCATAAATAAATCTTTTCGAAAGCATGTATGAAAGATTTCTTTATAAAAACACACGGAACGTCTCCAAGGGCATCTATAAAGAATTAAAAGATAAACAATTTTAACAATAATTGTTGCTATATTTCAAGTGACTCGGTAAAATGTTTAGAAAAATTAGTTTTTTAGATGGTCGATCTAGTCTTTCCCTTTCGGACCCTTATAAGCCAATCTTTATTATCAATTTCGCCAACGTTCAATGACGTTTTTAAATCATTCTTCTCAAGGCACAAGTATTGAACAACAATTACATTTATGTCAAAACAATTTTCTTTGCGTAATTTTTAACAGGAATCGTCAGAAGAAAGATTACCGATAAAAATGTAAATTTCGCTCAATACTTGCACCATGAAAAGGGTAATTTAGAAACGTCAACAAAATATCGGTGAAATTAATGATAAAGATTGAGTTGGAAGGATCTAAAAGGGACAGATTTGATTGGTTACCTAAAACCTCGTTTTCGTAAACAATTCTATTGTTAGATTCTACGTAGAAACTTAAAAAATGTTATAAATCTATGTGTTACATATACCTTGAAAATAATTGATAAACGTAGTAAATATAAAAAAATTTATTAATATTGATCGATTATTAATTATTATTTATGGTATTTGGCACAAAAATGAAACTTTTTATGTGATAAAGACTATTTGAATAATTCAATAAATGATAATGATCAATGTTATTTTCATAAATGTTTATCGAAACCTTTGCTGGTGCAGTATGTACATACAATATTTAAATATAAGTGTGTAGGTAGATGAAAGACACTTTCAATTTTGATAAGGTAAATGCATCGATTGTCATAATTTCTTAATATGGATATCACAATAATCTTATTTTTTACGTTATTGAATCCGGGTACACGAAGTATATAAATTGCTGGAAGTTACACAGAGCATAAGAAAGTTTTTGTCAGGAGTAATTAGAGTATCAATAGAAAAAGTTTTGCAGTAATAGTTGCAATTTTTTCAATAAGCATTTTACCAAAATGAAAATTTTATTAATCAATATTTGTTTTATATTACTAATCAATTTTGTTAGCAGTACTGATGCGATAAATAATGAAGCATTTTCTAATGCAAAATGCATTAAAGAAGGAGAAGATGTGAGCCATATTTTTTAAATAGAATTATATTTATCAATAATATTTTTCCAACAAATTTTTCCAAATGAAGAATGTATTTTTAACATATAATTTTACTATTTATTATACCTTTGTAATTTCTTATGTTATTTTGTTTAGTGTAAAAAAAATAGAGATTGCTGTTCATCGATGAAATGTGACAAGCAAACTAAAACTTGTCAAAAAAGAAAGTGTCACAGTGAGCGAGAATGGGTAAGAAAACTAACAGAACTAAATGATGTAGTGATATTATTTGAAAATATTGAATTGTAGTGCATATCTAGTCAACAATGTTGCTGGGGAATGAGATGTAACAGAACTATTTATCAGTGTGAAAAGCACACTTGTCAAGAAAATGAACCAGTGAGTCACTAAAATATAAATTATATTACTTACTGTAGAAAAATAAGTATAATAACAAAAAGTGAATTTCAGTGTTCATCTATGGAGAATTGTTGTAAGGGAATGATTTGTTCACCTTTGTCCCATATATGTGTTCGAATTTGCTCAAATCAAGAAGAATCGGTAACAAAATGCCAGAAACTATATAAATATTTTGTCTGAATACTTTTATTAAATGTTCGTTAAATATATAACTATTAAATTATATAAATATTAAATATATAAATATATAATTATATAAATATTTAAATTATATAAATATATAAATATATAAATATATAATTATATAAATATTAAATATATAAATATTAAATTATATAACTATGTATTTACGCGATACTTTTCAATTCTCTATGAATTTTTTTAGTGCAAATCCAACAAAGACTGCTGTGACGATATGATGTGTAATATGGATAAAAATGTATGCGAGAAAAAAGAAATGTGTCATCAGGAAGATGAAAACGTACACCATTGCTATTTGACACAAAATATTTTACATAATCCTTTTAATTATCAATATATATTTTTAGTGCAACTCCAACGAAGACTGCTGTGACGGTATGATGTGCAACATGGATAAAAATGTATGCGAGAAAAAAGAAATGTGTCACCAGGAAAATGAAAACGTATACCATTGCTATTGATACAAAATAATTTATGTGATATATTCAATCATCAATATATATTTTTAGTGTAACTCCAACGAAGACTGCTGTGACGGTATGATGTGCAACATGGATAAAAAAGTATGCGAGAAAAAAGAAATGTGTCACCAGGAAAATAAAAACGTATACCATTGCTATTGATACAAAATAATTTATGTGATATATTCAATCATCAATATATATTTTTAGTGTAACTCCAACGAAGACTGTTGTGACGGTATGATGTGCAACATGGATAAAAATGAATGCGAGAAATAAATCTGTCGTCGCAAACATGAAATGGTACACTCATAACTCAAAATTTTTTCTGAAAAATTTTGCAAAATCATTTTAAACATTAATAATTTAATTTCAGTGCAGTTAGACCAAAGGCTGCTGTAATGGTATGATGTACAACACTGATTTTGAGTGAAAATGAACAATGAATACTTTTAAATAATAAATGATAAACTTTTATCATGAAATACAAAACTTATTATTGTAATCTGGTGTCAATTTTTTTGTTCTACATTGAATGTCAGTAAAATATTACAAGGTGTTCCTTTCCTATACTCGTTAATATACACGTGATAGATGGGTGTGTGTATTTGTGTGTATGTGTGTGTGTGTGTATGGGTGTGTATGTATTCACCTATCTATCACCATTGCTCCAATTTTTTCTTCTTTAATATAATTTTATTATTTTAATTTTATTATAATTTTATTATATATAATTTTATTAAACTCATTTAACTGATTTTGGTTCGCGCAAGACTCATTTCGGAACTCATTGTTTTTATTTAAGGATCGTTCATAAACTATTTGTTTTTTTTACTAATCAAATTTTGAGTTGCAAGCTTCCAGGATTTATTATAAAATTTTCACACGTCTATACATACACTATCCATCAATCACTTTTACTATATCTATAACAAAATTAGCAGAACTATAAAGTTTTATATTAAAAAAATTATTAATTATTACAAAAAATTGTTATTATCGAATTTGAAGGTAATGGCAAAAGCTTTCGTTTAAAGTCAATAGATAATCAAGAGATAAAATTGTAGTTTTACGCCTAAAAAAATGAAGTCAAACATTTTTTTTTCTATCTCCATTCAACTCTACGTCAATTTAGACGCAGTGTAGATAGGACAAAAATTGCGACAGAAATTAAAAGGTATTTTCCTTCTCTTTCAAATGTCATCTTGCAGGTTCTCATGCGATTTTTTACTAGTTATGAACATTTTTGTAAAAAAATCATACTGTTTTAACTGTCTACATATCTTTAATATAATGGAATTTCAGAAAGAAATGTTGCTTTTTTGTTTGAAATATATGATAATAAAGAAATTTAAAAAAAATTTCAGTTTTCTAACAATTGAAAAAAAATAATCTATTTCTTTTTTCTTAATTTCATGAATAGCTGTTGAAAAATATTTTAAATAAATAAAGTGATGATGATAAACTATTGTATTAGAAACAACTTTTTAAATCTTTAGAAACAAATAATATTTATCTACATATATAGTGATACATATATTGGTTTCACTACACTCTCAACATTGGGATAATTAATTTGACACTTCTTTTTGTTATTCATCCAATACAAATTTGTATTACGAAAATTACAAACTCTTTTGTGGATTGGATTCTTCCATATAGCAGTGACTTTCATTTTTGGTGCAATGTTACTATTTTTGAACATTCTAATCATTTTCCTACAATAAGCGCATGTAATATTTGGTACCCAATCATATTCCTCACATTTTATTTTAAAGTCGAATAATTTTTCATGGAATATCAATATATTAGCAGATTACTGCTGGTCCTTGAAAAAAGATATACCATCAGAACTTAAAAAGAACGGAAGAGGAATCCACTTCGCAGATCACTTCACAACAACGTTGTTCAATATAAAAATAATCAACTTGAAGCAATTTTCTATAATTTCTAAAGGTGCAAATCTTCTTTATCGCTTGAAATACAGCTAAGTATGATACATTTTGAATATGTAATATTAATTTTGTTGTTGCTGTTATCACTCTTTGGATTCTGTGTTTTTATTTTGTCTGTACATGCCTATGTTAATGTATAAAAATATAATCCGTCCCTTGGCATAGCTTATGTGAGCACGTGTCCGACTATGTTTGTCTATTTATGTCGAAGACATTAAAATGAACTTAAAACTTACCCAATAATGAAACCGACTTCAAATACGAAATCAGCTATTCAAAAAACCTATAGATCCATTATTACAAGTTTTATTTAATAAATTATGTGTATTTGACTGTGAAATGACCTTGAACATGATGTTGAAGGGTTAAACTAACCCCGGATTCGGATTTAGCAACCCGAAAAACCTATATGCCTGCTATTTCAAGTTAGTTTTCATGAATTCTGTAGATTTGAACTTGAAATGACCTTAAACCAATTTTAGATTCAAAATCAACAACCTCGAAAACATATAGGTTTCTTTATATATTTTTTGGTACTTAAAATTTTTTTTTGTGAGGCTGTATTATTGACGATATCAGTGGGTTTTTTATGCTTCAATATTTAGATTTTAGAAGATATAATGTTGCATACCATTTGATTATAATCCATGAGCGGAATGGTCCTTCAACAGGTCCAGGTCTTGATGGTATCGTAGGTAAAAACAAATTATAAATTTAATGTAAATTTATCCAAAAAATATTTGTTTCTATCCATGTTCTACTAGATTGATTATATACCTTTTAACTATTATCTATCTTTTTTTTATATTTGTAATAATTTACTGATAAGAAATTTAATAAATCTTAAAGGTCTATAAGTACATTTTTATTTTTCAATTATACATGTGTCATTCATCATTCTAATAATACACTATTATATGTAACTCTATCTCACTTCACATTTACGTTTACAGTATTCAAAAAATTTTTAATTTTTATTGCACTGAATGATATAAGCGATCAAGCGTTACCGAAGCCGATAATCATGCCATGTAAAGATGGGAGAGTTGAATCGCAAGTGTTGTGCGACACACTGCTTTGGTATAAAAATATTATGCCACAATTTATATTCACAATGCTTTTATCTTTTAAAGAAATAATTTTATCTTTTGAAGCATCTGTTTGAATTGTATCGCAATAATATAAAATCTGATTGATATAGAGCTAAACTAAATCAATAAAGATAAATGTTTACTTCTTGAAACATGTATCTTTCTAATCAAAATGAGTTTATCTCGACAAATAACGTATATAAAAGGTGATCGGCAATCTTGAAATAGTCAGTTGTATTAATCTGAAGAAAACGTTTTGATCACATTAAGACGAATTGGAAATCATGTGAGTACAATGCATTAAAGGTTATATTATGTTAAAATTTTGTTGTAATTTTAGTACGCAACAATTGACAATAAGAATAATTATTGATCCTAAATTAGTTTTGATGATGAATATCGATTTCGTTTTCAGAAAAAAATGTCTAAAGTGATTGCATTTCTTTGCATTGCCTTTTTGGCAATTAATTTGATAATGGCTCAAGAGCCAGTTTGCAAACCGGGAGGTGTTGTGGTAAGTAAGCATTAAAATCGCAAAAATAGATAATTTATGTATTACTTTTACTCAATAATGATCCTACATTTTGTGTAAATTAATTTTCAAATTTCCAAACAGAAAAACTCAGAATATCTATATTAATAAAAATATATATAATAGCTACTGATCATTTTTATACAGTGATGTAACGAGTTTCGATTTACATATCATAAAAATAATAACGAATTAAATAATGTTGCATGTGATAGTTTTGAACGACTTGAATTCTCTTTCTCTGAAAATCGTGATTATAAATTAGAACAAAAACTGTATGTTTTATTTTATGTATGCATTAACATTAATTTGATTTTTATAAATTCCATATAATAGTGCAGCTCAACATCTGAATGCTGTACTGGACTTATCTGTAATCCTTGGGCTGGGCGTTGTACGAAACCTAAAGTAACAACTACGACTACTGATCCCGATAGTAGCGAAGAAATTTCTGCTACAACTGAAGAAGATCCAGAATAAACAATTTCTATCGGAGACATTCATGATGAAAAGAAAAATGAGATATTTATACAATTAAATTATATATAAACTCATTCATGCATGTACATAGACTATTAATAAATTTAAATTTTTCAATATAATTATTTTTTTGTATTTATTTATTGAATATAATTTATTTTGTTTGTGTTTTATATTTCCATAACACTAAATTCAATAATGTTTTAAAATTTATTCAATTGTAAATATTTTAAGATTATGTATACATAATTTTTTATGCATATTTATATCAAGCGAAAAATCGATAACCAACTTCCCTACATAATATTATGATTGTTAATTTTATAAAATTATAAAAAAATTAGTTGTATCAAGTAAAAGATATCTCAGTTTCCCAATCGAAAAGTTGTTCCATATGGATTACTGAATATTAGGTCATTTTATTATATCAAAAAAGTTTTAATTATTGTTTGTATTTACATTTAAAAATATATTTCTTGTTTAATTATAAGTGATAAGAATTAATTTAAATGATCATTATAATAGTATAATAGTCAAAAACTTATTTAATCGCTAACTGCTGATTACATGGAATTATTCATGCGTCAAACTATCCCCTCTACTCTCGGCTGAAACGAATCTCTTTTAAGTGCGAAACAATATAAGTAAAAAATAGCAATTACAAGAATATTTGTTTTTCTATTTAAAATATTTGTATTGTAAGAATACATGAATTTCGACATCGACTTGGAAAATCCATTCAATGAGCAAAATCTTTTTAATTTTTATTATTTTATCTATTATATTGTGTTAGAAGTTCATTGAAAAAATTTAATTTTTTTTTTAAATAATGCGACTGGGGATTCCAAATGATTTGATTTGGATTTTTTCAAACGCTTTATGTATGAATCGTACTTTTTATTCTAGATAAATATTACTGCGTAATATCAAAATCATAATATTTTTACATCCACCGCTCACAATAATGCTGTTGATAACGACTGTTATAGCTCAAGAGAAAACTAAGGAAAAATCTTGCTGTGCACGGTTAGGATATTTGAATATAAAAAATAATGCCATATAACTTATAATTTTTATTACTGAATGCACAGAGTTGTTTATACGATCACTGACAGTTTATATACACTCATAGTATACATAGAACGCTGGAGAGGTCCTAGGTACCTGTAGACATTAATCGTGGTTCCCTATAGTCATGAGTTTCTAGACCTATCTCCCTCACTGCTTTTAGATCGGTGCAGGAGGAAATTTTTACATACATCATGACTGGACCTATAGTTTAAGGGGTAATCCTAACCACTGACAAAATGTGTATCAATAAATGGCCTTCGAATCCCTAGTAAATATAAATGACCTATCGGGAATAGACCTTTTCTTCCAAAAATACAATATGATCTATGTAAAACCATAAGGCCTAATTTGATTGAAAATGTAATTAGATAGCTAATAAACTTTATATATATTGCGCATTCTTTGATAAAATAGAGTATTTACTGTATTTCTTTTAATTGTAATCTAAAAACTGGTTTTCATAGTAATTTTTATACTAGTTATACTAATACAATAACAATGTCTTATAATATTAAGCTACAGTTATCGATAAATTTTCTTAACCTTCGATCCAACTTAATAATTACATCGTCTATTTAACAAATACGATATTACTGTTGAATTAATGATGAATTAATCGTAAACAAAGATTTTTGTTAAAACATAAGTAAGTTCAGGTGTCAAATAAAACACGATACAGTTAATAATAATAACAAATAGCTGGATTCAGACTATAGACGCAGATGACAAAGCGTAAAACCCGGAACGAAGCCTTGATGGTATAAGAAGGAAAGATTCAACGCGAGAGATTCAGTTGAATACGAACTACTGTCGAGATAGTGTCTCATTTCTTTCGTTTTCACAGTTAAACTAGTGAGTACAAATTAATATATACAATTGCTACTTTAAAACTTGTGTAGGCAATGTAAGATGTATATTGACGTTGAATATGTTTATTCATTATCAAATCTTAACAAACGAATTAGTTTGTGAATAGTGTCATCTATATTTATGCCAATATATTACAACAGAAGATTTTGAAAGTTGAAAATAATAAATTGTTTTATAGCATAATACGTTACTCACTAAAAAAATATTCAGTTTTAGTATAATTGTGTTAATATACTAAATGTTTTTTTATATTCACCTTCAACGAGCGTGATTTTAACCTTCTTGTAGTATTTTTAGAAGTATTACGTGACTGTAGCATTTTAAAGTGCGCTGTAACTATACATTATTGGTACAAGTGATTCTCCCTCATAACTTAAGCAAAAAATATTTATTGTACTAATATAGTGTCTATTTTATAAATAATGTAGAAAAAAATATAATAATCAAATTCGTAATAATTTGTTTCTTTTTGTTATTAAAAACTTGATTATTTACTGTAGAATACTTACATCAAGCAAAATGTCGAAGTTCATGATGTTTGCATTGGTTTTCTTATTGACCACAACTCTTATCTCAGCAGCTAGCAAAGACAGATGTGGTAGACATGGTGATTCGGTAAGTAAACGCTATTTATTCAAATTAAAAATCGCCTCTTTTCGATAAGAATATTTCATAGCTCATGCATATTAACTAAGAAACAAAGTTTTGTTTGTGAAACCGAAATTCACGCTTTTTAAAATTGCATCAATTTTATATTATATGAATTTGGAGAGCGAAACATTGAGATAAAACTTTTTGCGTGTGCTAATAAAGTCATATCACGAAACGTATACGAGGCCAAGGACAAAAGTTTGAAAGTAAAATTGGTAAACAATGTCAATCTTAATTCGGAAAAATATTATTTAAACATATTAAATTTAAAAATTAAAGCTTTTTGAGCAGAAAAATAACGAATCCAAAAATTTTATAATATTATCTTGTTATTCACAGTGCATTACTGTTTCGGATTGTTGTCCAGTAAAGCAAATGGCTTGCAACCGTTTTGCCCACAGATGCCAAATTCAAATTACCGAGGACGAATTGATGGCTCAACGAGAGAAAATCCTCGGACGTAGAGGAAAAGACTATTAACGTTAAAGATCAACTCTAACCATGACAAAAATTCTATAAATATACAATCTAAATTTTTTCAACGATCTGTCCTAATTCAATAGACTGATGACTTTTATTTGTAAATGTTTTTTGCTTTTGTCAAGCAAATTTTTTAAAAAGTATATTAAGTAATAAATTTATAATTGAAACGAAAATAAGAGTATTTTATTAAAATTAAAACCTGGATTTGAATGACTCTTTAATTAACAATAGAGAGTTATTGAAAAGTTACAAAAGTGTTTACAGAGTAAATGAATATCCATAAATCATTTAATCAACTGTGATCTGACCGAACAAGATTATAGGTACGTAGATATTACAATAACAGTGATACACTTGTTTACAATGACTAATATGTCCTTGCCATATTCACACTTTCTCTGATTCGACATCATATGTTCGACAGAGGACGTCTCTTTTATCTGAACTCTGGCGATTGTAGTGTTTATTTCAACGCCTACAATTTAGTCGAGGCAGTCAGTCGCTCTATAAAAGTTTTTATTTTACGACTTTTATTCACACACACATACATGGCAATATAATTTTATGTAGCTAATGAGATATAATACACTAGATTATCAAAAAAACGGTTTTATACATGTTAGTGTCAGTAGCAACTAGAAGAAAAGTTTATTTTAAAAAGAATATTTTTCTCGTCAAAAAAACCTCCTGATTTGTAAGAATTTAAGTCCTCTTTACAAAGTCGTAGATCATAACTTATTGCCGGGTAATCTCTGTCACTTGTGAGTTTCTCGAGGTTTGTATAAAGCGCGACGGACGAACAAATTACAAGCGTCCATTCGGAAGTCTTTTTAAAGCGGAAAAGTAGCTGGACTTTAAAAGCAAAGACTAAAAGCTCCTTCCGTTGGGCAATCCTCTCTTACTCTTTCTCTGTCTTTTTTCTTTCCTCGTTTTTCGCTCTCATTAACGCCGGCTTAAGTTTAAGCGTGTCGCGTACAAATCTTTTTCCCTTTTGAGACTTGACCGTTGTGTCCTTCTACGCTTAACCGCTTGGCTATTAGTTTGCTCTTTCTCGCAGTCCTATGTACTACGTAAAATATTACTAAGCTCAAATGTACTCTTTCAGTATTCATGCGACCTTCTTTGACTCGTGCGTTCGCTCACGGAAACTCTGATTTCTTTGTCATTAATAGGCTGTGGACGTACTCACCTGTCTTACCTTACTTGTTTGTGGATGTTTTTATTATTAACTGTTTGAACGAGGAAACGGAAGGAGCTGATAGTAGATTTTCCCAACTGTTATATGCTTTGTTGAAAGTCTTTGGGAAAAACCAAAACAAACAATACGCAGATTGCAGTGTGTAATTAAGTGTTATCTAGGTGACACGTTTCGGAAATGCTAGTTGCCTAATAGTTCTATTGCCTTATCGAATTCTTTTTGTTCTTGGACACAAATGATAAATATTACATCATTCATCGACAACTGATTGGATACGAAAATTCATTCATTATTGTGAATTGTGTAATTATTATTGGTCAAATGACGACTCTAATTAATTGCTATTCTGTCTATAGTGTCTCCACTCTTAATAAATGCACTTGAAATAGGAATAATAGTTTTAAGGAAAAATATAACCAACGTTATCAAAATAAATTATTTTGTCTGAATTGTGTAAAGTTTAGAAAATAAAATAAAAAAATTAGTATTGTTTGTGTAAATTAATCGAATAAAAATGAATCCGTGCTAAAGTACTAAGATTTGACAAGTGAAGGTATGAAGACGCAATAAAAAGAGCAAGTAAGTGTGTCGCCTTAATTCGGCATGTAATTCCCGAGCAAAGCAACGCGTCAAGCGCGAAGTACGACGCGCTTTTAATCAGGAGAAAAAGCGCAGCAGCTCTTACAGGGCGGCTATTGTCACAGCCAGGGTCGCCATAAAGACAGTGAAGAGGCTCGCGGATGCGCCTCGAGAATCCGTCGTTTACGTCGCCGCATGCGCCAGACACGAAAGAGAGTGGCGCTAAGCGCGTTGCTCAAGTGGCATTCCTTTCAAGTTGGCGTGCGCTCGCTTGCAAGAGGGCTTTTAGAAGGCACGCGAAAGAGACACGCACGCACACACACACGCACACACACACACCTAAGTTACTCGAGCTGCTCGCAAAAGCTCGCAAGCTGAATGAACGACTGCAAAAAGAGAAGGAAAAATGCAATATGAAAACAGAGCAGAGCAGGGCGCGCAGAGTCTATATGTAAGCCGCGAGTCACACAGCAATGTGCTGAGAACGACGAAAAAAAAGGATGTGTTTGCTCGTCTGCGACGGAAAAAATACGCACTGTTTATGAGGTCATCCTGCGCCGCGCCGAGCTTCAATCCTTCTCCTAAAAGCAATTACGCGCACGACGTTCGTATTCAAGCTGAGTAGGGGCGCGAGCTGACATAAGCCAACCGGTCGGCCCCACGGATTTCGCGGGCTGCTTTTTTCGGCAACGATGCACGGTCTTGCCGCTCTCTCGTGTTTTTCCTGCTTTTTTCCTCTTTATGAGGCGGAGATTATGTTAGGACTTGATTTGCTTGTGTTCTTTTCTGCGAAAATGTTTCGCGAGACTTCTGGCAGGCTCTTCCTTTCTTTTGTTTTTTTCTGTGAATGAGCGCATGTTTGTTAACAGGGTCTTTTTGATTAGTTTACACTGCTGAAAAATGGGTTTACCGTACGTAAAATTTCTCTGATGCATCACGCTGTCAGCATGTTTACAGAAAAAAAGTAGGATGATAATTGCATTACGAAGGAATTTTTTGTTATGTTTGTATGGAATTTCAGCGTTGCGACATATAATGTACCTTGTTAAATTTTTGTAAATAAAGGAAAAAGCATGAATATTAAAAGTCACTATTACTTTGAGTTTTTTTTATTAAATAAGAAAATATCAGAGTATATTATGTAAATCGTATAAGAAAACAAACTATGATTGTACTACCCTGCACAAATGTTGTAATAGCGCAGTTAAAAATAACGATTTAGATTGCGTGCATCAAATTGCTGAAGCAAATGACTACTCTAGATCGATAACCGTGCAAGTATTTATGAATGTAGAACACTAATAAATTAATTTGGTACCCATAAAAATATTTTAATGTAACTTCCTATATCGTAATCCATTATAGAAAGAATGGTAAGAGAAACGATAAATTCCAATTGATCAGTGATAAAGAGACGTACGCGCTCACCACACGTTATATCCCACGTACAAGTCGTGAAGCTTTTGGGGAAGGGTATCGCTTGGCGATCAAGCAAAGGGTATTCGCTCGAAGAAAGGCCTCGGCAGAGTTGGTTAAGGCAAGCACACATATACATACACGAATAAGAGAGAAGGGGTTGGCTCCGATATCGGCCGCTGCGCCTGACAATGCAAATACCGAGTTACTTGAGTGAATGCGAGGGTGTGGTAGTAGTGAAACAAGGACAACCATTCCTGATTAAACGATATACCATAGTGCAGCTCTCTCTCCCTCTCTACCTCTGGTCACGCGATTGATCTTATCTCACGTTGACTTCTCTCTCCTAGCTGTATCTCTGTCTAGCTTACATGTTCAAGCACAACGCTTAGATTTTGCTGGACTATACTACGACATGTACGTACATGCCTGATTTGAACATGGTTTTGTTTTGCTCGATTTTGTGACGCAAACATTTTCTTATTAATTCAATATTAAGCTGACTTTCGTGCATATCATCAAATATTTCAAAACAGTATTTACAATTCGTAAACCGATCAGGGTAAACTGTTTGTTGAACTGATTGAAAAAAATTCAAGATCTTAGTCATTGAGAAAACATTAATGACTTGACCAAGGTTGATGTTATTCAATGAATAAGTAGTCGATTGAGTTCGGACGAGTCAACCACTTACAAGAATAAACTTTTGATATGTTAGGAAGTTGAATGAAAAGCTTTGTAGAATCCAGATGATATTTTTTTGCAGAAGTGAGGAACAATAAAATAAATACCTATGTACATTGCTCGAATTAATATAGAATAGATCTCTGCGGACTAGTATGAAGACTCAGTAGAAGTAAGCTCTACCCCTGGGCAAATAAGTAGACAACGGAGTCGCCGAAGAGACGAGAGAGAGTCTTATCATGATTAGCATAAATTCATAGTTTGCAAACCTCGGAGTATCTTAGAAATATATATACGTCCATTTTATTGACCAAGTTTCAAGGATTATAGTCTGCTCACGAGTTTATAGCTAGAAACGGAATCTTATTGTTTAATTGCAAAATAATTCGCTTACGGGATTGACGGCTAAAGAAAGAAGAAAAAAGATTCCACATATTTTTTACAATAGTTCCTCGAAGAATCTCGATAAGAAAAACATTAAATATCTTAAGTTCACGAGGAAAAACACTAGGCATTTATTGGGAGCATCGAGTGAGAGAGTTAGTCATCAAACGATTGCTATATCAATCATGGAAAGCGTGCAGCATTATCTACAATCCACTCATTACTTTAAATTACTCAATCGAATGCGGACTGCTTTATACATTCTTCTCGGAACTTATCAGTCATAATGTGCAAGTATATTTCCAACGCGCAACAGATAAATTTCTCAAGAAAATTGTTACGTCAAATACAAACCATTTTTCGTATGACATCAACATCATTTTTCGTCTCCATCACACCATCGACATGATAACGTTTCCTTTGTATCTAGAAAAACGAGAATTGACTTTGATCAAAGAACTGCGTTGACGAAATATTCAAGTGGCACTCAACTCAAAGTTAAAGATGCATATATATACGCATCGTGTAATTCAAGCGTCAAACCATTGCTTGTATTCGTCGTATTCGGTGATAGAGAGTCTGCGCGTGACCGCAATCGGTGCATTGGATCGAAAAACGCATGCGGCCACTGTAAATACGATAAATATTATTGATGATTGGTTGAACGTGTATATACACTCATGTTCCTATGGCAATTCCATTTGGCTTGGCTAGAGAAGCGCTTTTTTGTAATGTTTCCGCATCGAAAACCGTTTGATTGGTAAAAACAAATGAACTTTCAAACAGGACAACAATTTTTTTTGTTGTCTCCAAAATAATTTCATAATTTTTTTCGTATTCTATTTTCTTTCGTGTAATGATGCATTGATTTAACCGTTTTTTCCCTAATTTACTTACAAATTGCAGTTAAATCAT